ACTCCCCTATCCTGGGAAAAAGACCTTGGCTACCAACCCTATCCATGCCCCTCATGATCTTATAAACCTTTATAAGGTCACCTCTCCTCCAACGCTCCAGGGAAAATAGCCCCATCCTCTTCAGCCTCACCCTTCAACCCAGCAACATCCTTATCAATCTTTTCTGCACCCCTTTCAAGTTTAACAACACAATTCTTACAGGAGGGGGACCAGAATTGAATGCAGTATCCCAAAAGTGGCTTAAGCAATGTCTTGTTCAGCCACAACATGACCTCCCAGCACCTATACTGAATGCACTGACCAATAAAGACAAGCATATCAAATGCCTTCTTCATTACCCTGTCTACCTGTGACTCCACCTTCAAGGAGCACTCCAAGGTCTCTTTGTTCAGCAACATTCCCTAGAACTCTACCATTAAGTGTATAAGTCCTGCCCTGATTTGCCTTACCAAAATGCAACACCTCACATTTATCAAAATCAAACTCCATCTGCCACTCCTCAGCTCATAGACCCATCTGATCAACTCGCTGGTAAAATGGATCCTCTTTCAAGGTGTTTCCAAGTGCATTCCTTATCAAGACAGTGTTGGTGTCTAAAACTGACTGTCTGCAGAAACCCAATTCAATCCCTTGATGTGACATTAAAACTATGATTATATACATCTATGTGTCTACGTATATGTGATTACAGTCACCTACAGGGTCTTAACTAATGTGAGTCAAGCTTTTCCCCTTCTATCCAACATTAAATAGCAAATTTTAAATTAAGAAGGGCTTTCCTCAGTGCTTCTCTTGTCAAAACATCTCAGTACAGGCAGTGGCCACATTTTTGCTGCTTCTTAATATGACCCAATTGTGTGATTTCAATGAGACACCTTATTATCTTATGTTCCTATGAGTATGATGATTCTGACTGTATAAATGACTGCTTCAGTTAACAATCTTCTTCGGTCAGTTTATGTCAACTAAAAATCGGGGAAGCCATTTAATGTTAACTAAGAACCACGGGCAGCCCTGATTCATGTAAAGTGAAGGGAAGAATAAGAGTGTTAGTATTGAGGGAAATTATGATGTCTGGGGATGAATCTAAAGTCGCTGTTACAGACTTTCAGAACGACAGTAGTCTCTTTACCTAAATTTATTCCTCTCAGTTTTTATTTCATTTTTGCCCTAACAGTTTCAATAATTAGTCATCCCAGTACTAAATCAAGATACAGTTACAGGTGTTATTTCAGATATACCCCAGGTCAAATGTAGGATGCAGCTCTGCATCAGATACTCAGAGGTTCACAGCCCATTCGGGCAAATCTCGGTTGATGCTTCACTGCAGTACTCAATGAGGGATGTTAAACTGAGCCCTTATCTGGTCTTTTTAAGTGGGAGTAAAAAATATGATTACACTTTGAAGAGGTGCTGGGAGTTCGTCCCCGTGCCCTGGCCAATAGTTATTTTGATGAATAAAATCCTTCAGCCTTCTGTAACTTCAGGTAATGTGAGTAATGAAGTTAATTCAAACTTGACTGGCCTTAGAATAGCATTTCAGTAAGAGATTAATTATAACCAGGTTAGTTATAATTATACACACAAAAACAATTGTGATATTTCTGTAGATTTATTTTTACATTTTACCCAAATATGAAGACCACAAACAGCATCAGGTAAAACCAGGAACCTTTGTGAGTGACACAGAATGTGAAAATGAGAGTGATCCGACCAATATGATACTTGTGGTAGCTTCCTTAACTTTGCATGTGCTCATTGCAGTGGTTGTGTTAATTAGCTGGAAGAGAAAGAAGAGGCACGCTTCATCCTCAGGTGTGTAATTCCAAGTGTAATGCCTTTGATTTACCATACATGTTGCAGGTCATGTATGATTCTCCATATTAGTGTTCATTCAGTCAAATTGCAAATAATTTGCTTTCCTTTCCAACAATGCATATTGCCATCAAAGTCCTGCATGGCAATTTACCAGCGGGAGGTCATCACAAGGAAATCATGAAGCAGTATCTGACAACTAGTGGGATCAAAGGTCCAGAGGAGATGATGAGCAAATGCAGATGAGAGCAGAGGGCTTTATAGTGAACAAGGGAAGTAGATGCAAGGATTCCTTATGAATCCCAGAGGGTTGCTGGGGAGGGGGGAGCATTCCTGGTTCTCCTGGCCCACAGGGAGTTCTAGCTGATCTTTGCTGTATTGTGGGTGTCTCCCTAACTTCATGTTTTTGACCTCGCAGCCTGTTGGCATTTTAAAGTTATGGCCTTTAAATATAAAGAATCGAAAAACCCCATCTGCCTGTAGTTGTTGATTTCAAACACTGAAAGAGGAGATGGTGTCAGGCAGGTATGACACTGCCTCTAGTTGTTATGTTGACTTGGCCTAGTTTTCACCCTTGCTACCATCTGCACTGAACAGCGGCGGGTGGGTTCAAATTGAGACCAGTGTTTCTTTTGCTAACAAAAATACCTGCTACTTTCTGGACAGTAATAACTGGCAAAGTCAAGCAAATACGGAATAAGTCTCATTCACAGTGTCATTACCTTCTTTTTCTTTTCTTTTATTGGCAGATCTTGACAAAGAAGCAGCTATAACGGCAAATGTATATTTCTAATACTTATTGTTGTATGCATAATACCATATTATCTGCAAATTCGAAAGCTGAAAACATTCCTCATGTTGCAAGGAATTCGAAACTCATGTGTTTCCTGCAAAGCTGTCCAAGAGCTTGATTCTCAAAGATGCCTGAAATTAATGCAATATTGCATGATTTACAAGGCAGTGAAGGGTCAAACAGTACAGAGATTAACCATGGTTGGATTAATATAAAATGTCATGAAGAGTTTTAGTGTTTGCAGGCAGTTTAGGCCATTAGGGGTGGTACAGTGGCTCAGTGGTTAGCACTCCTGCCTCATAGCACTAGAGACCCGGGTTCAGTTCCACCCTCAGGTGATCATCTGTGTGGAGCTTGCACATTCTCCCTGTCTCTGTGTGGGTTTCCTCCAGATGCTCTGGTTTTCTCCCACAGTCTAAAGATGTGCATTTTATGTAGATTGGTCATGCTAAATTGCCCATAGTGTTCAGGGATATGCAGGCAAGGTCGACTAGCAATGGGAAATGCAGGGTTACATGGGTAGGGTAGGTGGATGGAATGTTGTTCAGAGGTTCAATGGGCCAAGTGGCCTGCTTCCACACTGTAGGGGTTCTTTGATTGAAATGAATTTTATCGAGATGGAACATACATATTTATCCATGTTGCCCTTGTACTAAGATACAATGGTGAGGCCATAAAACGTGATTAAAGAAGATTGTCATTTTGCAGAAGAGCAACTTGAAGTTGTCTCTGTTGTCCACATTAAGCCATCTTAACTGTGCTAATGAAGCAATGGTAAACATTGAAGTTGTCAAATCAAAATTGACAGTGTAGAGCCAAGGTGAACATCGGTCATGTTTGGACACTTCAGTAGCTGGAAACTTCACAGTATCCAGGTTACTTGTAGTGACTCCTAAGCTAACAATAATAGTATGGAGCAAAGAATAAATATCCTGCTTTATTGTCACAATCACAATGTCAAACTCAAGACAACTAAATTGTTATTTTCAATGTGATTCACACACTTAAATATTTAAATTTTTTTCATGTTAGCCACAACATGAAAATCTCCTGGGGCATCCAGAAAATGTATGCTTTTCCACACCAGAGAGTGGAGGCGATTCCAGGAGCCAAACTGCAACATCAGACAGTGACACAAAAAGAAAATTGCCTACATGAGAGTCACAGCACAGTAGAATGCATTAGTAAATACATTTATCTGTACTTGGATAAATGGACCACATACATGAAAGGTAAATTTGCTAATGACACCAAAATAGAAAGGAAAATTAGTTTAATGTAGAGGTAAAGAGGCTACAAAGCTAAATAGATGAGTGAACAAAAATTTGGCATGAAGCCTAATATGGATAAATGTGAACTTGTCAACTTTGGCATTAAGAATAGAAAAGAATATATTATATAAATGGAGAGACGGCAGAACATGGCAGTACAAAGAGTTCAGGGTGTCCTGGTACATCATGTTAGTATGCAAGTACAGAATGTCATTGAGAAGGCAAATGGAATATTGTCGCTTATTGCAAAAGATTGGAATATTAATGTTGGTAGCTTTTAATGCAGCTGTACAGGGCATGGCTGAGACGACATCTGGACTCCTTATTTGAAAAAGGACATGCATTTGAAATAGTTCAGAGAAGGTTCACACAACTCATTCCAGGAATGAAGGACTTGTCTTATGAAGAAAGGAGGGCAGGGATGAGACTTGAGTCAGTTGGAATTGAGAAGAATGAGAGAAGATTTTACTGAAACATACAGGAACCTCAGGGGACTGGAATAGGGTGGATAATGGGGGGATGTTCTCAATGTGGAAGAGTACAAGGGAATACAGTTTAAAAATAAGAGGTATTCCTTTCAAGGCAGAAATAAGGTGAGGGTTTTTTTCTCTCTCTGAAGTTTTTTTACAGTGGGGAATTTTCTTCCACAGAAAACACTTATCCATCACTAAACAGCAGAGTGTGTTTGTATAATGCTGCACTTACCCCTTGCAGCCATATTTACATGTTCTAATAAATATTACTGTTAACGTGTGAAAGTAAACAATTTTAAAATATTTTATCCACAGCAATAGTGATGAGGTATCAACAATTTATGTTCAGATTCAGTTGTTTTGAAACATGATAAACTTGTTAATTAAAATTTGCACTTCGTTATGAATGACTAAAGTGTTGTCATTTCAAGTGTGGGTATGGATTTGTCACGTGATCATTAGCTGCATTGTACAGAAGGAGCTTCCCTTTGTATCAAGGCTGTTCAGCCACAAGCAAGCTGATTCTGCTATTAATTCTTTTTCTTTTCTGAACATGTAGTCTTTCGGCTAAATAAACAGTCTGTATTATCATTTCATATGGATGAACAATAATTCTAAAAGTGACTTATCTGTGTTTTTCTTGTTTAGGCAATCCTTGTGATTCAGGAATAGGGAGTCAAAGTTCATCAGATATTAATTCAACACATGTCCAAGACGGCACGGATACCCAGAAATAGAGAAGTCACTTTTGCAATGTTTGGATTGACTCATCTGTGCACATGACTTGTCAGGTCCAAATTTGTATTTTATACAGTCAGTACAAGAGGACAGAAGAGAATTAACTCTACTAATCAATGCAGACACTCATTGATATCATTAAATCAATCAATGTTTTTATACTGATTCGTAGGACATGGGCATTGCTGGCTGGTCCAGCATTTCTTGCCCATCCGCAGCTACCCTTGAGAAGGTGGTGGTGAACTGCCTTTTTGAACTGCTGCAGTCCACCTGCTGTGGGTTGACCCACAGTGCCATTAGGGAGGGAGTTCCAGGATTTTGACCCAGTGACAGTGAAGGAAACAACAATACATTTCCAAGTTAGGATGCTGAGTGTCTTTGAGAAGAACTTGAAAGTGATTGTGTTCCCAGGTAGGTGCTGTCCTTGGCCTTCTTAATGGAAGTGGTAAAATGATAAAAGACACATGCTGCACCTTGAAACTATGGACTCATGAAATCTGAACCATCGATTTCCTGCAAGGCAGAAAGCTTGTTTACAAAATATAACAGACCACAGCTTGTTTTAACCTTTCAAATATTCAACATATTAGACCTTTATGTGATACATGTTCTACCTATCAAGCATAAGCAGCCCTGAACCATAATTCGAATCCACATATGAACCAGCTCAAACATTATCATCCCGGCTGAGAAATGCAGACCATTAGATCAGAAGAAAAGCAATGTGCTGTTAGTTGTGTTTGTTATTTTGTAAAAAATAATTGTTGACCATTTGAAAACTCTCAATTTTATCTTTTTCTTCATTCATTTTAATGGAAGGTTGGGAGTACAAACATGAATTGTCATAAAAACTCATATCTGGTGTCAAATGTCTTGATATGAGAACACATTCAAGTTCAGCACATTTGGAGTCTTTGGAGCACCTGCCAGCTTGACTTGATTCAGTTGTCAACTAATTCTAAAAGATCAGAGGAGAGATGGACAAGCTACTGTTTGTCAGTGGGTAAAATTCTGGCCTTGGAATCAGAAGATTTCAAAGATTTGTCAACCGTACACCTTGCAAGTCAGGAGACAAACTTGGCAGAAAAATCATGAGTTTCTTTTGAAAATTTCAATATCCTGCAATATCCCAAATGCATGATATTCAACTGCAAAATTTTCAGTAGTTGGGAAATTGCATTGACACTGTCCCCTGATTTACCGATTGCTAAATTTAATTTAGCAATCCCGCTTCTCTTTGCTAGTGCATTAATTCTTTGTATTGCAATTTTACTCCTTCCAACAGAGGGAGCTTTTCGAGAGCATGCCCACTGGCTAAGAACTGTCAAAATTAGGATCCTCTCAGGATGCAGAGACTGACTTCTCTGGGGCTGGACTTTTGACAGATGGAGCCATTGAGGAAGTAAGAGAGAGAGTCAGAGTCCTGGATCGGTGTTAGCCAGTGGTCTGGATCAATCCTTCTGCTCCTACAGTTCCCAACCTGGCCCTCATAGGAAACCACCAGCTTCTTGTAAGATAATGTGCACGTGAGGATCACCTCCCAGTGATGCCAGTGATTTGGAAGGGAACCAGTCTTCTTTCCAGTGACCTCTAACTTGGAATGAGGTTTACTGATGAACAATGACACAGGTGTGTGGTCTGGGACAGGCCCCAACCACCAGGGGTCACATTATTTGGCTTTGCATTTGGAATAAAACAGGACATGCAGAAAAAAAAAATCCAATTCGTATAGACTAAGTCTTTTAACAGATATAATTTGGAGTCTCCTGCAAAACTTGCACTGGAAATAACTGAAAAGAAAGTGGTTGATTTTGAATTTCCTCAGAAGTAACAGAATATATTCATAATGATTCAGCAGCCTATTTTATGATGTTCTTGATTTTCTTTACTAAACTACAATATTGATGCACTGGGGTTAAGGATAAAGAAGAAGAAAGTTTAAAAAGTAAGGTTTTTTATATAATGCAGACATCAGTTGAAACTTGGCACTCTTTCCACCGCAAATATAGTGGATTAAGATTAATGTATTAGAACCAACATCAAATCTGAACTAAATGAAAGCTGTGCACATAAACAAAGATGTGGAGGTGCCGGTGTTGGACTGGGGTGGACAAGGTCAGAAGACACACAACACCAGGTTGTAAGTCCAACCGGTTTATTTGAAATCACAAGCTTTTGGAATGCTGCTCCTTCTCTTGGATGGCACGGTGGCTCAGTGGTTAGCGCTGCTGCCTTACAGCCTCGGGCAACTGTGTGTGTAGAGTTTGCACATGCTCCCCTTGTCTGTGTGGGTTTCCTCCGGGTGCTCCGTTTTCCTCCCACAGTCCAGAGATGTGAAGGGTAGGCGGATTGGCCGTGCTAAATTGCCCGTAGTGCCCAGGGATTTTTAGATTAGGTGGGTTAGACATGGGGAAATGCAGGGGTAAGGGAATGGGTCTGGATGGGATGCTGTTCAGAGGGGCGGTGTGGGCCTGTTGGACTGAATGGCCTGTTTCCACACTGTAGGGATTCTATGATTGATTCACCTGACGAGAGAGCAACGCTCCGAAAGCTTGTGATTTCAAATAAACATGTTGGACTATAACTTGGTGTCATGTGACTTCTGACCTCCATAAACAAAGGCAAAATACCATGGATGCTTGGTCTCTGGAATAAAAACAAATGTTAGAATTAGAGTTTAGAATTAACTTGTTGGAGATGTTCTGGCAGGTTCTAAGAAGTGAGAAACAGAATTAACATTTAGAATCCAGTGTGACTCTTTGGAACTGAACAGCAGTGGAGATGAGAGAGATCTTATGCTGTTGAGAAAGGAAGGGGAGGGTCATGTGGAACAAAAGGGAAGGTCAGGGCAACATTAGAAGGCAAGGGGTAGAATGTAAACAGGGCTTAAAACATAAAACAAAATGGCAATGGTTGTGGAATAGGTGTTAAAGACAAAATAAAGTCTGGTTCTGATTGAAAACAAAAGAATAAAAACACCAGCTAGAAATGGGGTGGGGGAGGGGGTAAAACAAAAAAAACATGGTAGATGACAGAGTTCTTGGTCTATAGTTGTTGATCTCAATGTAGATACCAGAAGACTGAAATCAGAAAATTAGGACCTGTTCCTCTAGGGTGCAGTGGGTCTCACCGGAACACTGCAGCAGGTCAAGGGTAAAAATGTGAGCATGAGAATAAGATGGTTTATTGAAGTGGCAAGTAACTGATAGATCAAAGTTAAACATGCAGTCTGAGCAGAGGTGTTCTGCAAAGTGATCACCCAGTACACATTTGGTCTCCCAATGTAAAAGATTGTGATCAGAAAACACAGTAAACTACCTTGAAGTAGAAGCAAATTGCTGCATCACCTTAAAGGACTGTTTGGGATCTTGGACAGTGAGGAAGGGAGTAAAAGAGCTGGTATTACTCTTCGTATCATTGCATGGGAAGGTGCTGTGGGATGAGAATGAGGTTTCCTATTTGGGGTGGAGGACGAGAGAAGTGGATCAGGTTGTTCCTTCCAAGTGCTGACAGAGTCAGAAAAACGTGTTTGGTTGTGGCAGTTATGTACGCCAAAGACATAATTCAGTGCCTGCTCAATGTATTTGTCCAAGGAAGTACATTCGGTAATGAAACTTTCAATAACACTTGGTGCTTGGTGCTGGAACATTTAATTTTTCAAATCATGTCATTCCATTTCAAATAAGTCTCATTCAAGGTATAGTTTGTTTCAACTAAAACATATGATAGCTTGTAAACATTTGGACTGATGGTTTTACACAGGAGGCACCCCTTCAATGTGGGATGGCAGGAGGGCACCAAATAGTAGCCATTCCCCATTAAGCCATACTGCAGCAATAAATGTGCAACTTTGAGTGTGTTCTGGGCCAGGAAATGTGACAGTCTGCAACATTTGTCTCAGACAGCTCCTTATTGTAGGAGACCAATATGTTCCTTTTAGACCAAAGGCTCTCGTTTGCCAGCTTACTACTCTGATGTCTGTAAATAATGAATTGTCTTGATGGACATCCCTCCAGACAGCATTTAAATACTGAGTAATTGCATCTCTGCCCAGAACATCTTTGCACTGACACATTCCAGGTGGTCTGTCACTGTCTCTTCCCCGGTGCAGCAGTTTTAAGGACAGAGTGCAGTAGTGCTGGGATTCTGGGTGTATATAAAGGATCAGATTATGAGGATTGTTTCTTACTATAAACATGGTGTCTACTTGTAAGTTCTGTTAACGAAGTGAATAATTTCGGAATTGAATATCCTTTATGGTCACACGTACCCCAGTACAAAAGTACGGAAGTACAGTGAAAAGGTTTCACAATGGCTGCCGTTTTAATGGTGCCATCTTAGATACAAGGTAATAATCTTACAGAGTAAAAAAATAGTGATGTTACAGAGTTAAAAAAAAGATTAGCATGAAATAGTGAAAAAGTCCAGAATGATAATAAGTGACCAAAGTACTTAAGTTCCAGTCCAGACTGTCCTGAAGGAGTTCACCAAGCCTTTTCCTGCAGAATATCGTAGACATTTATAGTAAGTAAGGCCTCTGTAAGATTAACTTGCAGTTAAAGATGTTTTATTGGATAAGGGAGGGATGGATAGTAAAGCATGCCCTGACTGATTAACTGCAGATTGTATGCTGATCCTCACCTGCTGATCTGTCGTACTCCACCGAATCTGAACTATTCCCAAACCATCACTCGTATCAGGTGCTCCACAAAGTTCTTTCACAGTCATCATTCTTTTCTCCCAGCTGACCAATTCTGGCCTCTGTAAAGAGCTCTCCACAACTGAGTGTGGCAGATTGACACATTCCAAAGTCCAGGAACATGAGCAGAGGGATGTACAGAAGCTTGGAGAAGATTTTGCAGAGGGGCAGGGGGAAAATCTGTAGTTGAAGGCTTTTCAGCCACAGTACATCCAGGAGCTGGATTGTGTGAAAACCTCATGGAATGTATATTCCTCTAGTAATGAGTTTTACAAATATTGACTCGAATATTGCTGAAAAGAGACATTTTTCAAAACATTTCATCTTGCACTCACTGGGCCAATTAGCAAGAAATACTATGTAAAGGCAAAACAACATTTATGTTGTATAAGACCCAGTGTACAGGCCACTTACCAAATAACCATTAGTCTCGTCTTTCTTTATTATTTTATCTATTTTCTTTTTTATTCTATGTTTTGGTTTATTTTTCTGAGTTTTAAGATGGTGTTGAAGAATGGCAACACTACACAACACTTCTCACAGTATTTTCTAACAAAATACACATGACAATAAATAAATAAAAAGAGGAGAATGATGATTTCATGGTAAGTGAACTGTGATTGGTAGAGGGATTGCCATGGAGCACCCACCTGTTAACAATGGCCAACCATTAACCACTGTTCTGAAGAAGGGTCAGCGGACCCGAAATGTTAACTTTGATTTCTCTCCACAGATGCTGCCAGACCTGCTGAGATTTTCCAGCAATTTCTGTTTTTGTTTCAGTTAACCACCAAGATTCATTTCAATTGACTGTGATTGGTTAAGGCATTACCCTAAGAAATGAACCAGAGAATGGCTGTCACCTATTTTGTTGCCTGAAACATGTGCTGTGTACACATGTTTGTTTCTGTCTGTAAAGAAGAGTCCTCTGTATTAATATATGCAACTTCCAGTACACACAAGTCCACCACACTGACAGCCTGACATACTAATCCTAAATTGGTTGTCAGCATAATTCATCGCACACATGGGATTATTTAGCAAATGTTGCCCAATTACAGATAGAGCTGAGAGTTTAGTAAGTCTGGCTGTTTGCACAATACCAGCTCCTTGCTTTTTATGAACATTTGAAGAGATGTGCTTTTATAAATGTGCTTTTGGACAAATAGCCTAAATACTTATACTGAAATTCATATACCATATAACTAATTAATCATAATTCCTTTAACTCATAGATATGGGTTCCATTGGCTAGGCTAGCATTTATTGCCTTTGATAAGGCTTTGGTGAGTTGCCTTCTTGAACCACTGCAATAGACAGCATGTTAATAAACCGAAAGTCTTTTTGACTTGAGGGCAGCACCCAGTTAGAGGTGAACACCACTCGTGGTGCTGCCACAAGGCTTCCAAGAGTGGTTGTCGAGACCCCATGTGGGGTCACAAGTGAAATGTTTCAGCCTTCAGCTGGAGGCAACAATGACTGTAATAGAGTTACAATAGTTATGGTCCTATTATTACTTGTTTTCTCAGCTGCATCGTCTGGCATCCTACCCCGCTCCCACCTCAATTCTCACGTCTCCCTTCCTGTCTAGCTCCATTCTCTTCTTAAATATGTGCATGCACATAAACACACACTCATCCTCAGAAGGTAAGTTTGCAGCAGATATGGGTAGAGAAACCCCCTGTCTGATTTCTCAAATAGGACAAGAAAAGGAGATCATTGGACTGCTCCATTTCAAAGGTGAATTTAAGCACAGGATAGAGTCCTGGATGTAGTAAATAGAGCTCATCATTCTGCAAGATAATGGTACTTCTTGCAATTTGTCCTGATGCGTGCAAGACAAAAAGCTTTGATAAAATGTCTTTCTTCAGCAATACTCAAATTTTGACTGCTTATACATGTAGTGACTAACATACAATATTGGGGAAAAACGGATTTGTTTTGTACTTTATGTAATATCAACTTTGAACAGTTACACAATTTATCAAGAATATATTTTCGGAGGAAGAAACAAAATGGGAATCCTAAGCCTGCACTTACCTTAAGCAAGATGTTGCTTTCCAGAGATGGCCATTAGGTTACATGAATTGTTTGAATCTATAGTAGAGTTCTTGACAAGCTAAAGCTGATGGCAATAGTTTTGATGTAAAAATTAAGATTTATGAAATAATGGTTCAGGGCAATTAGGGATGGGCAACAAATGCTGGCCCAGCCATTGATGTACACATCAGGAAGGCAAGGTGGCTCAGTGGTTGGCACTGCTGGCCCCCAGAGCCAGGGACCCAGGTTTGATTCCACATTGTGTGGAGTTTGCATATTCTCCCCATGTCTAAGTGGGTTTCCTCCCACAGTCCAGAGATGTACACATTCGGTGGATTAGCCATGGGAAATGCGAGGTTATAGGTTGAGTGGCCTGCTTCCACACTGTAAGGATTATATGATCCCCTGAAGGAATAAGGAGGGTTTAGCCTGTTCACATCCCCAGTGGCAGTTCCATCCCATCAAACCTCTTCTCATCTCGACACACTGCCACATTAACCCTCTCCCATTAACTGCCACCCTGTCACCCACCCACCACATCCCAACCTCTAGTCAGTTCTCTCTAAACTGCACACAAACCACAAGGCCTGAGCATGGTGATCAGTGTTGGCTAGCTAATTGTGGCATTCTCTCGTTGTTCCAGCAGTCACTGTTGTGCACAGGCAGAGGCCCGCAAAGCTGGAAAGAAAAAACTGAGGAAACACTACCCACACCCCACTAAGCCCAATCTCACACCCCCATCGGATTAACCCTCAAATAATTAAAACAAAGAACAGCAGAAGCTGGAAATCTGAAATAAAATCATAAATTGCTGGAGAAACTCAGCATCTGTGGAGAGAAAACACAGTTAACATTTTGGGTCCTGTCCCATTCTGAAGAAGGGTCAGTGGACCCAAAACATTAACCTGTGGAGTTTGCACATTCTCCCTGTGTCTGCGTGGTTTTCCTCCTGGTGCTCCAGTTTCCTCCCAAAATCCAAACGTGCAGATTAGGTGGATTGGCCATGCTAAATTGCTGATTGTGTCCAGGATGTACAGGCTAGGTGGATTAGCCATGGGAATTGCAGGGTTGGGGTAGTGGGGTGGGTCTTGATGGGACACTTTGGAAGGTTGGTGTGAACTCACTGGGCTGCATGCCTGCTTCCACACTGTAGTGACTCTATGATTAACCTATACCTCAGTCACAAACTCCCACCTCGTCTCCATTTATTCTCACCCACACCATGCGGCACGTTTTTATTACACATTTACAAAGACTGATTTTGCAGTTGTAAATTTATTTTATACATATTTGATATTAAAAGACATAATTGGCGCTCGAATCACAATCAGGACATGACAAATGTGATGAGATCGCCATTATTCTCCTCGGCAATGACTAGCCTCTGATGCATCCAACACCTGCCTCAGAAGAACCCTTCCAACTTGGGGTTTTAAGGCCCCGCCCCTTGAGGACTCCCATCAAGGCCCCGCCCTCTAAGGTCTCCCAGCTGGGCCCCGCCCCCGGAGGTCTCCCACCCAGGCCCCGCCCTCTGAGCGTCCGGAACCTGGCCCCGCCCCTTCGGGCAGCGGCGATCCAGACCCCGCCCCCGAGGGCTAGTAGTCAGGCCCCGCCCCTTGGGGGCACCGAAACTAGGCCCCGCCCCCTGCACGCGCGAAGCCCGCCCGCCACCGCCATCTTCTCCGGCGGGAGGCGACAAGATGGCGGTAGGGGTTCAGGGGTCAACCCTAAGCAGCCGCTGCCAACCGCGCTTGCGTAGCGCGCTGTCAGGCGTCAAAGTTGGTGGTGAGCTGCAAGTTTCTAGATTTAGGATGTTTAACAGCATTAAAGAAGCAAGTTGTTTAATCACATGACACAACTCCCACTTAAAATTGACAGCTTTGTAGTTGATGCGTCAACATGTAAGACAAGATTACTTGCTCAAATCGGGGTTAAATTGGTTTATGGAATACAGATAAGGTGACAATAAATGCTGCTTTTCTGTTACAGAATCTAAAGAAAATTGTTGTGGGATTTCCTTTGAAGTAAATAGGATGAGCAGTTTGTTGGTGAGTGCGCAGTATGATATATCACCAGCAATACAAAATTATACCAGCAAATTGCATAATTCTGTTAATTAGTTTATATTTAGGAACATAGGAAGTAGGCCATTCTGCCCCTCAAGCCTGTTCCACCTTTCAGTGAGATCATTGCTGATTTGTGGCCTAACTCCATATTCCTGCCTTTGGCCTAACTACCTTAACAAAAAAATCTTAGACCTAAAGCTAGCTAATCTAGCAATGATTGCTGTTTGTGGAAGAGAGCTCCAAAGCTGCACCGTCTTTTGTGTGTAGAAGTGCTGTTTAACATCTCTCCTGAACAGTGTGGGCCTAATTCTCAGAAATGCGCCCACCCCAATATTCAGTTTTTAAAAATTAGCATCAACCTTTTTAACGAAGTTGAAGTGGAAGTGAGTTTGAGCGGTTTTCTAAAACTCGCAAATTTATCAATTATTGAGCCATTCAGGCTGAAAATAACACAAATTCAATCTTTCATCTGTATTAATTGATTGCAGCAAAGTACCTGGTGTATATCATTGTATAGTTCAGTTGTACCTAGTATCTAGGTTTCCTTAACAAAATGTAACACGGATGTTTAGCATGTAAGGTACCATCAATATATCAACCTTCATAAAAATATAAACAGCTCCTTAGAAATGACAAGCAGATATTCTTAATCAGTAAGAATCAAGATTCCTTTCTGTTTAGTTGTTACTGCTTTTAAGTTTTCTACTTTTAATATTGACTATTGGCACACTGCTGAGATCTTCCAACATTCGTTAGATTTGTAAACAGTACCATCAGATTGGAAGTTAGCAAATGTTTCACTATTTTGAAGAAAGGAGTGAAAGGTAACAGTGAAGTACAGATTGGTTAGCCTAACATCAGTTGTTTGCGAGGCTGTTGCTAGAATATAATATGAAGGAGATCTTAACAATGCACTTGCAAAAACATGGAATGATTAGAACAAGTCAATGTGGTTTTACTAAAGGGAGGTCCTGTTTGACAATTTTTTGTTAGAGTTCTTTGAGAATGAAACTTGTAGATAGATAAAGAGGAACCAGCAGATGTAGTATTCCTAGATTTCCAAAAAAAACTTTTGATAATTTGTCACATATAAGAATGGGAAAGAGAAAAAGCTCATGGAGTTGGGAATAATATATTAGAATGGATAGAAGATTAGTTAATGGTCAGGCTGCAGACAGTGTGCACAAACTGGGCATTTTTCAAGTTGACATGTAGAAATAACAGAATGCTGCGAAGACCAGAGCTAGGTCCTCAGCTTTTTACAGTTTATGTCAATGAATTGGATGCAGAGACTGGGAATAATGTATAGTCATTTGCTAATTATACAAATCTAGGTAGAAAGGCAAGTTATGGAGAGGATATAGAGGGGCTGCAAAGTGATATAGACAAATTAAGAGAGTGGGTCAGAAGATAGTAGATGGATTATAATTTAGGGAATTATGAAGTTACTTTGGAACAAAAACAGAAGTTGCTGGAAAAGCTCAGTAGGTCTGGTAGCATCTGCGAAGAGAAAATCAGAGTTAACGTTTCGGGTCCGGTGATTCTTCCTCAGAATTCTTTACAAATACTGCCAGACCTGCTGAACTTTTCCAGAAACTTCTGTTTTTGTTCCTGATTTACAGCATCCGCAGTTCTTTTGTTTTTTATGAAATTACTCTCTCTGGTTGTATAAAGCAGAACATTTAAAAAAATATTTAAAAGTGGAATTTGAAAGTGCTGATGTTCAAAAAACCTCCGACATGCCCATGCAAAGACTGCAAAGAAAGCATGCCGGTATAGCAAGTAAGTAAGATGGGAAATGGCATGTTGGCCTTTTTTGCGAGGGGATTTAAGTACAGCAGTAAAGAAGTTGTGTTACAATTGTATTGGGTTTTGGTGAGACCACATCTGTCGTACTGTATGCAGTTTTGATCTTCCCATTTACAAAGGAATATACTTCTTTGGAGGTAATACAGTGAATGCTCACTAAATTGGTACCTGGTATGAAGGCTTTGTCCAATCGTGTCAACATGAATAAATTGGGTCTTCATTCTCTAGATGTTAGAAGATTGAGAGATGATCTTATTGAGATGTACAAGATCCTGAAGGGGCTGGGGTTAGGATAGATGATGAAGGATTGTTTCTGCTGATTGCTGAATTTAAATTGGGGCATAGTCTTAGGAAAAGGGACTGATCATTTAGAACTGAGGTGGGGAGAAATGATCCCATTCAAAAGTTTGTGATTCTGTGGAATGCTCCTCCCCAGAGATTTCTGGATATTTGATCTGATTTGATTTATTGTTGTCATATGTACCTAGGTACAGTGAAAAGTTTTGTTTTGTGTGCAGTACAGGAAGATCATAACATATAAGGATACAAAGATCATAGGGTGTTTACTAGGAGCAAGGCATACAAAGTTACGGCTGCACAGGAGGTGCGTAAAAGCAAGATCAGCATTAGCTTTGAAATTACAGAGGTCCATTAAGAGAAAATTGTTAGTAATTTGCAAAGACTTAGAATTGAGGTTTAGAAATGTGGAACGGTTGTAAGAAATGTGAGAATAAGATCTGCTGTTGGGAGCTCTTAAGGAGTCGCCCGATGTCAGTGCCATCTTGAAACTGGTGTTGTTGAATAAATTTAAGTTTGGCACAGAGAGATTGTTACGCTCAGAGGGAATTAAGGAATGTGAGGTCTTGGCTGGATGGTGGAGTTGAAGCCTAAGATCAGCCATGATCATGTTGAATGGCGCAGCAGGTTTATCAGTTGATGTGGTCTAATCTACTGTCTCTTGTGTTAAAACGCAACAGCTCACATACACAAAGATACAGGGAAAGCAACAAACAGTAAGGTGACAATTTGAAATTATTTCATTCTCTTCTGTAGTAGACCTGTAGTTTGATGTTTTAGCTGGAATGAAGAGGTTGTAAAAGCAGGGATTCTTGGTAAGCTATGAAACATCTTGTAGTTGAATGCCAGGAGTTTGGCTTTTGGGTGAACTTGATGTTGGAGTACAGTGGGGAAAAGACTCCTCTCACTGTCAAACTGTAACTGTGCAGTTGTCTTGCAACTGATTCAATGGCTTTGAAATGATTACGCAGGTAGTATCTGTCTCAGAATTGCATCAGCTGCTACTTTTAAAAGCAATTCACAAACATGGCTCCTTTACCCATGTGACCAAGATCAAGCTCCTTTACTAAATTTTTCAGTCTGTTAGACTGGTAAACACTTAGGATTGGAGGTAATATACTGGCATAGATTAATGATTAGCTAAGAGACAGAAAACAAATAGTACAAATAATGGTTCATTCTCACGTTGGCAGGCTGTGACTAGCACTGTACTGCAGGATTAAGTACTTGGGCCCCAGCTGTTCACAATATATATTAATGATTTGGAGGTGAGTCCAAATGTAATATTTCTAAATTTTTGGGTGATAAAGTGCTAAGTGGGACTATCTGTTGTGAGGAAGATATAAAGTGGCTTCAGGAGGATTTGGACAGGCTTAGTGAATGGGCAAGAACGTGATAGATGGAATATAATGTTAAAATGTGAGGTTATCCACTTTGGTGAGAGAAACATGTGTAGAGTTTTTCCTAAATGGTAAGAGGTTGAAAAGGTTAGATGTATGAAAGGACCTAGGTGTCCTTGTCAACAAGTTGCTGAAGATTAACACGAAGGTGCAGCAAGCTATTAGGAAGGCTAATGGGATGATATCTTTACTACAAGAGGATTTGAGTGCAGGGGTGAAGTCTTGCTTCAGTTGTGTAGGAGTTTGATTAGACCTCATCTGGAATATTGCAGTTTTGGTCACCTTATCTCAGGAAAGGTACTAATCTCACAGAGGGACTTGTTCCTGGGATGGTGGAGCTGGCTTTTGAAGGGAGATTGGGCAAACTGGGCCTGTATTTCTTTGAGTTTTGAAGATTGAGAAGTGATCTAATTGAAACTTGCAAAATATTTAAAGGGATAGACAGCATAGATGCAGGTAAGATTTCTCCCCTGGTTGTGGAGTCTAGAACCATGGAGCAATGTTTAAAATGAAGGACGATATCATTTGAGTCAGAAATGAGAAACTTTTATAACCCAAAGGGTGTGAACATTGGAATTCTCTATCCCTGGATGCTCAGTCTATGAGTACGTTAAATTAGAGATTCATAGATTTCTAATTACTAATGGGGTACATGGTTTTGACAAAGGGATGGGTAAAAATGGGTAAAAATGTTCAATCAGCCACAACCATATTGAATGGTACAGTAGACCCATTGGGCTGAATGGAAATGTTTTTATGTTTCAGAACATCCTATGTTATAATTTTTCATATATAAAGTTTGATAGCAAATGTTCTTCATCTTTGGGATGAAGAACAATCACAATACAATGAAAAGTTGATGAGATCCATTTTATAATTTTCAAACACCCTTTGAGTTTTAATGTCTCTATTGCCCATGGTGAAGTAACAGAAGTTGAGCCAGCTGGTTGTTGATGGTCTGTCCTTAACAAAGGGATGTGTAAGTTTAACAAGTGGCTATGGTTGTCTGTATTTTAAAAGGTATTTGTTTCAATTATCAGGATTGTCTGAGTTGCAAGTTACTCTTGGGTACGCACATAAGTTACTTTGTCACAAGGAAATAGAGGGCGTCCCTGTATAAATGCCCAACTTCCAAATGCCCGTACTTACGAATGCGATCCCAATCAGGGATGTAAGTTTAAAAGATTCGACATACGACCATTTCCTGTACTTACGAACGGCTGCTTTATTATTGTCCTACATTGTGTTCTAACTTGCGTACAAATCGACTTGCGAGCGGACTCCGGAACAGAACCGGTTCGCAACCCAAAGATTGCCTATGTAAGTATGAGTAAACGTTCGTATGTTAGATCTTTAAAATTTATATTAATACACCCCTATATGGTATCGCGATCATCAATAGTTCATTAGTCAGACGTTCGTAAATCGGGGACTGCCTATACTACCTAAAGTCACATGATACGTTTTCAGCTATCT